ACGAAAAGTGTCTTCGAGAAGTTGGGTCCATGGATCTTCTTCTGCGGCCACTTTGGGAAATGGCCGGCGCCAAAACTTCGCAAGCCCCAGCTGAGGCACAAGCCAAATCAAATAGCAATCTTTCTGCATGGCGGGGTGCCAACAAGTCAGCCAGGGCAAACGATCATCATCGGTCATCCAAAGGTTTCCACTTGTCAACAAGCAGGACTGATAGTGTCCTGAATGAGGTCCCTCGCCCAAGTGCAAGGTCAGGCTCACGATACGATACTCAGCCCAGTATACATCAAGGCCGGAGGTTCGTGCAAAAATCGGAATCTAAACACAAGACCTGGGAAAATCAACATTCATGCGATTCTTAATGTGCAAGTCGGGGAAGCGCTCAATCTAAAGACAAATGTTGGGGTGCTCCGATAAACACGCATTGGTGTATGGTGATTGTTGGTGCCATGCATGAATCATGTTTTGCAATGAATACGTCTTTTGGTCAGGGCAGCGGAGCAAGATCGGTGCAATCAATGCGCCACCGTCTTCATGATCAGTGGTCAACCTACTTTGCCATCCATTGGCCTGTTATCCCGAAGGGCTGTGTTGCATGAATTATTCACGCAACCAACCACTATATTCAGCATCATTCCTAACAGATGGAAAAATTATAATATATGATTTATCCTCGAAAAAAAAAAATCTTTAAAAATATACAATAATTTCATAATCAAGAGAATTTTTATATACTATTCAATATGTCTATCAAAAAAATCTAGATATATTATATAATTAATATATAAAACCTTTATTCTATCTAAATATTCAAATATTTATAAATATATTTTATTCCTATATTAATATATATATATATTATAATTAGAATCTATATTGTAATTAAAAAATCTTCGATTATAAAATATATATATATTAAAAATCTATAATTGTCAAAAATTAAAAAATCATCAATATAAAATATATATATATAAAACATATTCCTTCAAATAAATTTCTATATAAATATAAAAATCCTTGCCTTTATATTTAAAAATATCATATATAAATATAATATACAAATAATACAATATAAATTATTCTATCCTATCTAAATTTTAATATAAATCCATTTTAATTTATTCTATTATAAATTATGTTTCATTGTATATTATAAATATTTTTAATTATTATTAATAATTTAAAATAAATATTTAACCTATAATAAATTAATCATATTTAATATATTCTATCATCAAATTATTAATAATTTATTATTTCCTTAAAAAATATATCAAATATTTTATATTTCTACCTATTCTAAAATTCATATTATACCTTTATAATCCATTTCTTTATTCTTATGTTATTTAATTCAAAATATGTTTTCATAAAAATAATTAAATTAATTTTTTTAAATCATAATTTAATATTTTAGATATATATTATAGAAATTATTTGTGTTTCCAAAATAATATCAATTTCCCAAAAATAAAATATACTTTCTAATAAACGATATAACCTCGTCATTCTATTCACCAAAAATATCTATAATTTATAATCATATAAAGATTAAATTTATATATTTATATCATAAATCTCCCAGTCCGTGTTACTCCGAATTCGTTTTTTTCCTTCCACACTCTCATACATGCACTGGTACAACCCCGCCCTAGGAATATTGCGTTGGTATGTCCTGCAACCTCAGGACCTTCTTCCCCTCTGGTTGCACCATCCCTTGACACCAGGATGAGACAGCAACCAGATCCGAAAACTCCCAACGCATTTAAATCCCCAACGCATTCACAGGAATTCTCCCAAGCGCACAACCGCTCGCAACGGGAGGAACCATAACACCATCGGGAAGCGTGCGAGAGCGCTTGAAAAATAATGTTAACAGTGCCATTCATCCATGAATCCTTCACGGCTGATAGCATCAGCCCAATTGGATTTGGACGGCGCCCACTCCCAGTAAATCCAACAACGTAGTGAGACAAGTAACAGGTGAATCAAACTACTCATCTTTTCAAGACCATAACTAGCCGATCTCCCTTTTATTAGGGACATGAGAGCGGCAGTATTGTCTATATACCAAACTCCTCTACGCCCACGGAACCGCTCAGGAACCGTGACCAAGGCTATCAGTACTTGAAGAAGTTCCAATTGCGCAATCTTTGCTTTGCGCGGCGACCAAAGCTGGTACAGGAGGTCGGGTATCTCTGAGACATAGCCCAAACGTTCCTGGGCGTGGTCATTGAAGAAACCCAACAAGAAGCCTCCAGTGCCCTGTCGGGGGACCTCCAAAGCGGCATCTGAAGCGGCCAAGAACCGAGGATGGGCACGAGGTACAATGGCAATTTCTCTGGCTGGGTGCATCTCAAAAACAGCATCGAGAAGAATCGAGAATTGCAAAGCATCGCTCCAACTCTGGCGTGAGGCCTTCCTCTTTGGACAGCTGCCTTTGCTTTATGGCTCCCAAACCACTACACCCAATGCGACCGTACATGCCCTGCTCGAATAAGTTGGCGAGTCCATAGATCTTAGCTGCTTGGCTGGGGGAGAGAACCGGGCCACTCCGGGCCTTAGCTAGCATGTGTCGAAGCTTCTCACGCAGTTTGTCCCTGGCCCAGAAAGAGACGTGGCCCTTCTGCTGGACGTCAGTCAGGTCAGGTCATGTGTCAAATCCAGGAACGTCCCAGCTGCTGCCATCGGTTGCCTCTTGTCTCAGGCGAAAGGGGCGCCCAACAGCTCGTTGAGCACTTCGAAGGCACATTGCGCCGATCCTCGGCTTGATTGCCAGTCAGTCAATGAGGCATCATCAAAGTAGAGACTCACCATGGCGCCATGGACAAAGCCGTCGTCCGAGGGCCTCAACCAGGCGTGAGTATCGATTGAACGAAGTAACTGCCAGGGGCAAGCCAAAAGGAAGGCCGGCATAGATTTGGTACGCGGGTTCTTGCCGTTCATGATGGTAAAACACGACCACACAGCCCAGGGTGTCGCTCTCACGCATGAGAGTGGCGGTAGGCATCAGGCCAGTCCTCGCCTCCTGTCTCCCATGCATCAGTCTGAGCCGCCAACTGCTGCTGGGCCGCCGTCATGGTTGCCATCGTAGCCTGGATATGCTGGGCAGGTCGCAACGGAGAACAAAGGACCAGCTTATTGAAGTCAGCTGAATACTCAGTCTGGCCACCCTGGTCTGCGTTATCAATGATTCGCTGTTTCCCGGAACTCTGGGCGATGACACAACGTGGGATCAAACGTGGGATCACGACTGACAGCAAGTCCCTCTTGCGCATTGGCTGAGTACTGAACCCTCTGTCTGCATCCTTGCAGGACTGTTCCAGCAAAAAGACATCGTCATTACCCGGCTTCAAAGTCCGAACCAGGGCAGGGTTGTGTCGCTGCCAACCCGTGAATACCATGTCCAATGGGATGGGTTCCACCTCCTGCTGTGGAAAGACTCCGCAGGGCCAAGATGTCGCCACTGCTGGCAGACCATACAGCAAGCCTTGTGGGTATTGCACGTCCGGCCAAGACACCAACATCAACAACAAGGCTGTAAGCCCAGGTCTCTCTGCTGTGTAGTGGCTCGCAAGGATGCGGGTTGGGCCTTCTTTAGATGAGGGCCCACACACGCCCACCTGCGGTGGAGCTCTCTCAACGCACCAACCGCATGGGTGTGCCAGTCTCGCAGTTTGCCCCGGAGGGCACCAGTCAAGGTTGCTGCGAATTGTAGGTCCAAGTCCATGACCGGAGGCTGCTCTGTGGGTAACGGGAACTGCCCCCTGGCCAATGCTGCCTGGAAATGTTGATCAGGATCCAAACCGTAGGAAAGCAACGGCTGCGTCAGGGCTCCCGCTTGTTTTCTGTCTGCACTCCTCATGGACAACCAAGTGGCCGGATCAGCAAGGTGTGGACCCAGCGGGCCATCCCAATCCCCGTCATGTGCGGAGATCCACTCCGGAAATGTCTCCACCATGGGGAACGCGAAACCGGCGGAGGATGAAGGGCCATCCCCAGCCGCTTCCACCAAGTGCTGAACTTGCTCTCGGTACGCATGGCGGCAAGGGCACTAACTGCTGTCAGAATCCATCGAGAGGCAGCGAGGACAGGATTCCACGCATGGACAGCACTCCCAACACAAACCGACCCCGCATCCCCACGTCCTCCAGCTTGGATCTCCACAAAGGCAGCAAGCTGGCGGCAATGTGATTGGGTGGAAAGGTCTGCCATCACCCAATGATTCATAGGTTCCCACCACGGCGTCACTCGCCGAGATGGAGCCTGGATCCCTCCACAGGCCCCTGTGCATGAGCCCCCAAGTACGCAGGTGGGCGAAGATCTCCTCACGAGACGCCAACCATTGGCGCGACCGATCATAGTCTGAAGGCCCACAAATAATTGGGCACAAAGTCCTCGACCACTCCTGAAGGTGCCAAGCGATTGAGCTCCAAAAGGTCCAAGGTCGTCGGCACGGTCCCATGCCGCGCCCAAGCTTGCGCAGAGCTGCCCGGAACCACCACCGTACCCCGGCGTGTCCAGGTACCAATCCATGAAACACGAGGCCCCCTCGAAATCCCATACAACGGGGGCACATCGAAATGGAACAGGCCTGTTGGCGAAGTGGTGGGAATTCCGGTGGTCCCCCCACCACACGAGGAGCTGGTGGGTAATGTTCAAACACCACGACGCTCTGCCAAAGGATGAACGCTTGAACACGGTCTCCCCGGTCCAAGCGGTCCTGTACTGCCTGGCGGAACTCGGCGAAGGCCGCGGCAGAGAGAAGCTGCGCCTCAGTGTGAACGGCAACATCGATCCCGGGGCGCCAAGACATGATGCGCGTGTGTCACTCACACGAGAACTGGTGTGATCCCACACCGAGCTTGAACCAAGGAACAGAAACTCCCCTGTCCACTTTTGGCTCTTGAGCCAAAACATGACATGGGAGTTATGATGATGTTTGTGCACCCAAGCCTGCCCAAGCTCTACACAACTATATATGGTTTCGTGGTCAAATTTTCGTACGGATTGTGGTGTCGGATCCATACAATTATCAGCTATTGTAGAGTTTTGCAGACCGGCGATGCCGGTTGGGCGCGCTCGCGAGCTTTAGGCCCGTAGCCCATCTTATGGAGACCATTTTAGGCCCGTCTTCTCTTCCGAAATGGTCCAGAGTTTTGTGGCTGCCTCTTTGTCCAACGCATGGGATTCCAAATTGCATTCTCCGATGGCACCCACCATTTCCATTCGTTCGGTAGGGCCATAGTAAGCAAAGTCCTTCAATCCATCCTCTGTGGCACACATGACCTCTGGCCATGAGCCATGCTCTGCACTCTGGCCAAGGGGCGAAAACATTGTGAGCATCGTCTTCATCATGCAGCCTAGTGTTTGTTGACTTTTGCACAGGTTTGTCTTTCCGTTCCTCCCTCCTGACCCATACAAAGTAGCGGCATCTAATTCAGCCAGCTTTGGTGGGAAAACACTGTGTTTAATCATGATTATATAGATTAGATCGAATCTGTTGCTGGTTTCGGAAGACTCCTGTTGCAAGTGGAAGAAAAACTGACTGAACAACCGCCCAGGAGCTCACATCATCATCCTGTGCCAATTCAGTCCTGGAGGCACCAGGATGACACACATGCACCTGGATCTTACCTGCTGCACGCCTCTGCAGCTCATAGCCGAAGATCATCTGAGCCAGCTTGCTCTGGCAGTACACCGTGAAGTCATGGTAGTTCTGATCAAAGTTCAAGTCGTCGAAGTTCATTCTTTTCAACCCCATGTTGTAACCGTTGCTTCCCACCACCACGATCCGGCCTTTGGACTTCTCCACCCGGTCGTAGAGTAGCCCACAGAGCAAAAAGTGAGCAAAGTGGTTCACACCCAATTGGCTTTCAAAGCCGTCCTCAGTGAGCTTTTGCGTGGAGACCTGGGCAATGGCAGCATTGCAAATGAGGGCATGGATTTGGGGCGCTTGTGCCAGCACAGCTTTGGCAGCCTGGCACAACGCTGAAAGACGGTGACATTGCTCATGAGCAACAACAAAAGAACAACCACCAACTAACAAACGTTCTCATGATACGGGCCTCCCGTACCGAAGCCAACACTGCAAGGTCCATCGTCACCAAGGACACCTTTGCATCAGCACCAAATTCCTCCTTAAACTTCTCCATGATTTTGGCACTTCGCTCAGCATTGCGATTGAGCATGAGCACCTGTGACAAGGTGAGCCAAAGCATGTTCCACTGGGTTTGTCTTACCCGTTGGTGTCCCCATTTGGAAGATGTGTGAGGGCCTGAGCACCCTTGGAGAGGAGCAGTCGTGTGGCTTCATAGCCACAGCCTGTGGTAGTCCCAGTGATGACATAGGTCTTGTTTTGGAGAGATCCCAGCCTTCAGCCGCTGTCTCTTCTTTTCAGTCTTCTTCCCTTTCCTTTTCTTTTGCTTGCTTCTTTAGATCTTGGACCTTTAGACCTTTCGTATCCTTTCCTGTTTCATGATTGCTTCTGTCTTCCTTGTAAATTCCGGTTTAAGGTTCCTTTCTTCCTTATTCTTCCTTTCTTTTTGGAGAGCTTCCAGCCTCTCGGGTGTTCAGCCCTGAGGGCCCCAGGGGTTTGTTTGGCTCGGTCCACCGCCCATCTTCAAGCCAGAGGCGCTGAATTTCTGGGGCAAACTCAACTGGTGGCAGCTGACTTGAGCTGACTTGAAAAAGAGATGGCTCAGAACTTCCAAACGTTTTACAGTAGATCACAGAAAACGAAGAACCACAACGGTTTTGGACAGACCCTGTGTAAGACTGATTAGACTAGACTGATTGCCGCATCCGTGGGGTGGCTAACTGGGTCTGCATTTGCACCTTAAATCTCCTCCCAATCATCCCGCACGCCATCCTGGTTTTAAGATTTGGTCAGTAGTTGTCCTTGACCTTACGCATCTTTGTGCATTGTGAGACGGGTGAAACCGTAGCCTTCTCCGTCATGGATTAACTTAATGTAATACAAAGGGATACAAAGGGTATCGTGGCAACAAGAGCTGTGCCAGGTGTGCAAAATTGCAAGCTGTCGTGCTTACTTAGTTTACTTGCTTCCCTTTGTCTAACTAGCTGCTTCATTGCAGGACTTATGCTGCGTCATTGCCTGATTCAGCCTCGTCGTCGTCACTGTCCGACCTAGGCTGTCCGACCATTGAATAGCCAACATGGTTGCGTTCGTGAGTTGATAAAATCATGGAGCCAATGGCACTAGGAGAACTTGTAGCACTTCAATCACTCGACTGCCAAAGCCGCAAATGGTACCGCGAAACAGGGCCATGACGCATATCCTCCAAGCCCCAGCCCAGAGGAGGGCGCTTCTGCAGGCGCCTCTGCCTGTAGTATCTGCCACATGCTAAAAGAAGCTGATAGCAACATGAAACAGCTCGCTTTCCCGTTTTCCTTTCTCCACTCTGTGTCAAGTTGGCCTCAATACGTGTCCTTCGTTGCTTGACATGCAACCCTGACTGAACAAATGTCGTGTTGCACACACTTTCGCCTCTATCCTGGGTCTCTTTGCTTCAGGTTGGGTCTCTTGCTCTCCTGCGTTGCTTGGCATGGGACCGGTACAACCTGAAACACTAAAGTTGACAGCTGAGCCGAATGTCATACATCCGCCGTTTGGTCTCACTAAATCATATTGTTTCGCATCTTCACTGGTGCCGGAAGTTTGTCGACTTGAGTCCTTCTGGCGAGGCAGCAACCTTTGTTGATTTCACCTTCCTGGAAGGCTCACAAAACACATGGTTTCCAGGAAGAGGCACTGGTGGTGATACTTGAAATTGTTGCCATGTTGCAGGAAGCTTGGTATCGCAGGCGCTCCCTTCTCTGGCTTCAGATTCTTGACAAGGCCCTGCGAAGGCAAAGGCCAATATCGGCATTGCGAGATTCCATAGGCATTCTACGTTCCAAGAGTCAAAAGGAATGGAGCGGTAGAATGACAAGATTGCCACAGGAGCACCTCAATTGCTGCAACCCAATCAATAAGTATGGTAAAGTTAACGTCTAAATAGAGCCAACAAAGGCTTCACCGAACCTTGCCGAAATAAAATCAATCACATCTCAATGTGAGTGATGGGCAAAATCTTTAGCTCCAAGGACCGCTTCAGGATTGTCAGGGACCCAACAATAGATTTTGTATGATTTTGTACCAATAATTGTCGAATCGATCATGTCCAGTTACCACTTACGACTTCAACTGTCCCATCACGTTCTCATGT